GGGGGGGGGGGTATGTTTTTGTTTTAATCACATTTCGTCATGTTTAGTCAAACATGACATGATCTTGATTCAGATCTAAATTATAAATTTGATATTAAAATGTTGATTAAAGCCTTTGGCATGCAATATGAGGACAAATTATAATATTAGACTATTTAAAGAATAGCTTGCACCACAAAACTGAATCGGGTAATATACTTAGAGCCCGTTTGGCTTAGCTGATCTAGAATAACTGATAAGTATTAGGTGCTGAAAAACATTTTTAAATGCTAAAACTGATTTAAAAAATAAGCAGTTACATTTTGGATAAAAGTACTAAAATTAAAAGTGCTTATAAGCCAAAAATAAGCCAAAAGTCATAAGTTGGTCTCCTCCAACTTATCAAATTTCAGCTTATAAGCACTTAACTTATAAACACTTTTAATTTTACGAAACGTGTAGATAAGCCAAAAAGTGCTTATAAGCCAATTTAATCAGCTTATAAGCTTAGCCAAACACCCTCTTAATTTTAAATTTCTTTTCCCATTTTTTCTAGTTTAATACTTATAGAGATGATCCAACTTCCAAGTAAGGAAGGGAATCGTTCACCATATTGACTTTGGATAGTTGTGCGGAGAGGGGTGGGCGGGTTAAGTTTGGCACACTAATCAATATGACTTTATTTCACAATAGTATTTACAAATTCGGCATAATTTAGTAACTTTGACTCAAATTTTACCGTTATTTTAAAACTTATTTACTAAGTACAATTTAGCACCCAAATAAACGAAAACAAATATATTTGTACTTCGAAACCCATAAACTACAAATTCTGGTTTCATCTCAACTTTGTTTGAATTTCACAAAACGCGACATGAAAATAATATAAGGGTGGATGAGTTATTTAAATTCTATTATTAAAATTGCATTATTCTTTGATTATTTTTTAGTTTCTTATAGCTTATAAAAATTTGGAGAGATGCTTTGCCAGGTAATGAAGAAGAATCGTCAAATAAGATAGGGAGCTCCTTATTTTGTCCTAACAGTTCAACTAGGGTCCATGGTATCCTATGCAGCAATTAGTTTTTTTTGGCTCTAATTAACTTATACTATATAACAAGGGAAAAGCAAGGAGCGGCTCAAACAAAAAGAAAGATATTGAATTGGAGTTTTATGTGACTTTATCCATTTTAGATAACTAACCACTTGGCAAATACCTTGATTGGTCCAATTCAAAGTTCACAAGTGATGAATTATTGTCACTTGTTATGCCACAACTTTTAGGTACTCCTAATTTCCAAGCCAAATTCTATTTTTTTTTATATCAATGATGGTTGAGTTAACTTGCATACGATTTAACTATTTCATCTCTTACATATTAACTCTTATAGTATTATACTCCTTCCGTTCACCTCTTGTATTACTCTTTTCAAATTATTTTCTCAAATCTAATAAAATATGCATTAATTAATATGGGTATCATGATAAATTATGCACTTCATTTATTATTTCTTAAGAGGTGTGAAAAGTTAAAACGTGCCAAGTAAAAGTGAACGGATGAAGTATATAGGTATTGAGTAATTTTTCCTTTAATGTCTTGACAAAGGTAAAAGAATTATATCTCAAATTTTATCCCTACTAGAATTTAAACTCTAATTTTGAGGAGAACAAGGGAACTCTTATTGTCTTTGGCAACAACAACCACCATCATTTAGTATAATCCCACAAGTTTGGCAGACTTGTATATTTTTGTAAAAAATAGGAGAAGTTTTCATTCATTTCAGATTACACTAAAAGAATAGTGAATTATCAAAAGAATATAAGTAGAACTATAATGTTTCAATTGGACTTTATTCTTTTGGTGGTAAGTAGTAAGTACGTTAAAAAAAAAAAGTGAATTTCCATTAATGGGATATATATTATTATTACGTAAGTTGCGCGGTATATTGAGGAGAAAAGGACCTTTTTTCCTTTTTTTTTTGTTTGGGCAGGTCATGAATTCAACGTTTGTGTTTGCTCCTTCACACTTAAAAGGCTAAGTTAAAACAAACAGCCCTTTGTCAACACGCTTCTGTAACAAAAACTCTTTCTGAGAAAAATCCAGAAGCAAAGTTTAGACGTCGCTTGCACGATCGCTGCTGCTGTTACTCCTTGTTCTATTAAACATAAAAGGGCGTCGTTAGATAGCAGGTCAATTTTTCTTTCTTTTTCGATCCATTTCAATTTTTCTGTTATTTGTTTATTATATCCGTTTCCTTTACTTTGAGATTAAGCTTCGAACTGCTGCAATTTTTTAATTGGCAAAACCGCGTATTCTTCAGTTTCGCTTTGTTCGTCATTTATTATAGCTACCTTTTAAGAGGACCTTTTTTGTTTGTAATTCTTTGGGTTTTTTATATTGGATTCGCTTCTTTATCCTCATTTTGGGATTGGTGAATTCAGGCGTTTGTGTTTTTCTTTTCGGTTCTCGGAATACTGTTTTCTGTTCAATAGCTTTGTTATAGCTGCTTGTCGGTTTTCACAAGAGGTAGCTTATTTAATCTTTCCTGTTTTTTTTTTTTTTTTTTTTTTTTTTTTTTTGTTATTTATCTGAATTGTATTTTCTAGTAAGTCAAAGCCATTAACGGTTGATACTGAATGGATATCTGATATGTCGTGATTGAAAAAAATTAGGGATACTGTTTTCTTAGTAGAGATCGTTATCATTAGTAGTGATGCTTTTTCTTTTCTTTTTTGAATAGTTTTTTTTTTAATGAATTTATATACCGAATCATCTTTTTTTTTTTCTTTTTTTTTGGGTGTGTGTGTGTGGAAATCTTACCGATGATATTAGTCCAGTATTAGGGTCTTTTGGTTGGCAGTGTGTGTTTCACAATTAGGTGGTACTTTAATTCCTGCTGGATAGACAAGCTTGGTGGAATGTGTTTGTCTTCTACAGTAGCTGTGATTAGATATGGATTATACCTAATATTAGATAAAGACTTTCGAGCTTTCTTCTTCTTCTTTTTTTTTCAACAAAAAAAAAAGAAGAAAAAGTTATCATCAATATCTAGATAGCAAGTAGATTGATAAGTGCAGTTACCTTCCTGCTTCCTGGCTTTTTGGGGCCTTTCCTCCATTTCAGATAGAGACATTATTAGAGAGGAAAAATATAAGTTTCACGTCTTGATTCTGTTTGTGATGAACCATACTTTGGAACTTGGAACGCCCTATATTGTGGTTTGTCGTTCTCATTTATTGCCTCTTTACTCCCTCGGGGTAGGGGTAAGGTATGCGTACACACTTCCCTCCCCAGACCCCCTAGTGGTATTTTGCTGTGTCGTTGTTGTCGTTGTTGAACAATTGCTATGTCTGGGAGTAGATTAACAATTTCTTCCTAGTTGAACAAAGCAGAAAATGTAACATTTAATCTCAATAGATCATGGCCCCACAATCTTGTCTGTTACAATCTTGTAGCAATTGCAGACTCAAGCTTGTCACTGAGTTTTTGGTTCTGCACATTTTTGAGGACTTCCTATTCCAAATTATCCAAATAATAGTTCGAGTGCACTTCTTGAATTTTGGAATTCAATGCTTAGCATGTTTGAAATTATTTTTTCCTGCTCTTAATCGGGGGTTTAACTTTTGTGTAGTCCATGATGTATTTTACTGCTAACTTAATGTATTTTTTCATCATTTTTACATCTGTTCATGGTTCCAGGGTTTTGGAATTTTGAACTTTGATGGCTGAGGATAATATTGATGAACTTGTGAGTCCAGTAACTAGTGTGAAGAATGACTCTGTGGCTGAGGATAACATCGATGAACATGTGAGTCCAGTAACTAGTGTGAAGAATGACTCTGTGGCTGAGGATAACATCGATGAACATGTGAGTCCAGTAACTAGTGTGAAGAATGACTCTGTGGCTGAGGATAACACCGATGACCTAGTGAGTCCAGTAACTAGTGTGAAGAATGACTCTGTGGCTGAGGATAACACCGATGACCTAGTGAGTCCAGTAACTAGTGTGAAGAATGAATCTGCTGGACATAAGCCAGATAAAATCAGCACAAGAAAACCAAGATCTTTGAGTAATGGACACAGGGTTCTTCCTTGCTATCGCAAATCCTCCTCTACTTCATCTTATGATGTTGGCAATACAAGAAGACAATCCACTGGGAAGTTGGATTCTCCTGACAGCGTACAGGATGTTCTTCCTCATTATATGAGAGCTTCCACTGGTTCTTGCCATGACTTTTGTAAATATGGCAGGAAACATTCCTCTGAAGCAAAACCATGGCATCCTCTATCAAAAAGAAAGAACAAACTTCTTGCTGATGAGCAGAGTCCTACACAGACCATGGTGGGAGAGGCAAAGAAGGGGACTGCGTTCAAGCAGAAGCCTTCCGCTACTACAGGGAGTATGGTGGGGGAGAGAAAGAAGATGACTGAAGCTGCGCAAAAGCCTTCCATTCCTCCAGGGAGTATGCTGGGAGAGGCAAAGGAGGAGACAGTGGTCAAACAAAATTCTTCCACTACTTCAGGGAGTACCCTGGGACAGGCGACCAAAGGGACTTTGGTCAAGCAAAAGCCTTCCACTCCTCCAGAGTGTATGCTGGAAGAGGGAAAGAAGGTGAGACTGGAGAGTATATTGGGAGATGGAAAAACGGTGGCTGTGGTTGAACAAAAGCTTTCTTCTCCTCCATTGAGCACGCTGGGAGGGGGAGATGAGGTGACTGTGGTGAATCAAGAGCCTTCTACTCCTCCGGAGAGTGTGCTGGGAGAGGAAAAGAAGATAACCATGGTTGAGAACATGCCTTCTGCTTCTCCGGAGAGTATGCTGGAAGAGGGAGAGAAGGTGACTCTGGTTGAGCAAAAGCTTTCTACTCCTCCAGGGGATATTCTGGAAGAGGGAAAGAAGGCGACTGTGGTCAATCAAAAGCCATCCGCTCCTCCAGGGAGTATGCTAGGGCAGGGAAAGAAGTTGAATGTGGTCAATAGAAGGACTTCTCCCAAGGTTCACTCTCTTGAACCCTCTGAAATAACAAAGAAAAAAGCACCGCTGCCACCAAAGAGTGTTCACTCTCTGAAGCTGAATTCTTCAGGTAACAAGATACCAAAGACAGAAAAGAAAATGAAATATGTTTTGGCAACTAATTCTCCTCTTGGGCAGATAAAAATGGGAAAATCTTCATCTAAGATCTTAAGAGGTGTAGATGCAGGAGGCAGAAAAGACAATGACGTCAATTCTAGAAAACAAATAATGGTGTCCAAAGTATCTGCAGAGAAGTCTTTGAAGACCCCAACTGTTTCATGTCCTCCAAAATCTTGCTCTGTTAAACCTTTGATCTTGAGAGCAAGAAACATTAAAAGCTTAAAACTGCTGGCTCCTCTGAAGGACCAGAACAAGATACGGAGAGATGGAACCAACAAACTGAACCCTGAAAAGGTTCCTGAAAAAACCTTGCATGTTACCAAGGTGAAGGCATCACTGAAGTTTTCATCTCAGTCGCAATCACGCTCGTTGCCTAATAAAGAAGATAAAAAGAAAGTTGCTGAGTCTGCGAACAGTGCATCAGATAAATACACCTCTAGCAGCAAAAAGCTGCTAAACATAGCAGAAGCAGAAACTGTCGGGAAAAATCAGAAAAAGATATTAAGAAAAGGCAAGGCAGGTGTTTCTAATGATTCCAATCCTTCGGTGGTGAAACTGAAATTCAGGAGGGGTAAGGTAGTTGATCTCCAGCAAGAAACCAGCAGCCCTAGGAGGCTGATATTTAGATGGGGACGACATATGGGGGAAAGCCAGGATAGCAAGGGTGATACAAGAAGGAGAATCTTAAAAAAGAAAGGAGTTGATGCTGACAATAATAGCACCATCCTAAGCTCTGGAAAAATTGTTTTGAGGCATCAGGATGTGCAGGAAAAAAAAGATGTGCAGGGTTTGTTGAATAATGTGATTGAAGAGACGGCGAGTAAGCTTGTTGAAACCAGGAAGAGCAAAGTTAAAGCTTTGGTTGGAGCTTTTGAGACAGTAATTTCCCGCCAAGATAAACCTTCTACAGTCACAGTTTCTTGAATTTAACAAAACAGAATTTTATACACATAGGAGCAATTGCAAATATAGTGGATGATAGAGCTTTTCTGACCTGGTTTGAGTGAGTTTCTCGTGTTTCTTATTCTGACTCTTCTTCTTAACCATTTCTTGATGGGTTGCCGGTTCTGTTCTTATGATTGAATAAATTCAATTTCTTCTGGATGCATCTTCTTTGAATTGGGAGATAAAATCATGCAAGATTATGATTTTTTCTTCGCTTATGGAAGTTGAGATAGTGGTGTTAAATCTGTGGGTGTCTGGCTATACTATATTCCAATGTTGGGCTGGCTGCTCATTGAACATATATTGCTGTTTGACATATTTTACGTGGAATTTATTCATGCTTTCTGTCGAATAAGCCCATTGAAGAAGACGGAGCATGTGAAAATACTATGCAAGGAGAGTTTTGGCTGTGGTGTACTGGTTTGACATTTTGCTTGTATACTGTTTGCTATAGCCGTTTTTGGGAAGGCGTCATTTCTTGACTGCAAAATATACTGTTGTTTCTTCATCCTGCGATTTCTCCTTTCCACATCAGTATTTATGGTTGATGACTGAATTTATTGGATTTGAAACTAACACCGAATTGGTTAAATTGTCACTACAAATGGATGTATACTTCTTGTTAGCAAATAAATGAGTTTTGACTGCGGATGTAAAACTGCATTCCTGATAATTTCAAGCTTAGCACTTTCGATAAATGCTATCTGATGAAGTATATATGGTCAAACTTAAAATTATTCAAACATGGAAATGGATCGACTAGCAATTGTTAGTTATTAGCAAGTGACAAAGAGTAGCTATCATATTTCACTTTTGAGAAATTCGGATATTTATACTCTATCTCCGCGACCTGTCTATTGGACTATAAAACTTAACTTCGAGCCAAAAATAAGCCAATTTGACATTTAATTCAAGGGTTGACGGAGTTGCCAACTTGTCATCATACTGCCAATATCTCTTTCTAGAAATCAAGGCTCGTCCAACTATTGCATGTGTGTTTGATACAAATGCTGAAACGAATATTAGCAACAATAAATTGAAAGGCACAGGAGAAAAATGGTACTAGGAGCAAAACCTAGATACGCCAAATGTGCTATTAGTATTTCCCCTTTTCTTTTATTTTTTTAAGTTCTTGAGTAGTAGATGCCTGTCTCTACGGGTATTCATGGTTCGGTTTGGATCGGTTTTTCCCTAAAAAGAAACCAAACCAAGTAAATCGGTTTTTCAAATATTAGACCAAACCAAACCAATTAAGTCGGTTTTTTCTCGATTCGGTTTATGTCGTTTTTTTGGTTTTTTCGATTATTTGTCGGTTTTTCCTTAAATATAAGACATATACTACTAAACACACATTTCGACGACCACATTTTCAACATAACACTATCAAATCAATTGCCCTTTGAGAAATCTATTATTTACTAAGATATATTGATGATAATTGAATCAAATAGTGATGAATAATTTAAGGACTCAATTAAAAATATATTATTTTTAACATGAAATAAATTCTTACACTTAACAAAAAAAAAACTACCAATTAAACTAGAATGTAAAGGTAAAGAACTGTACTAAAAGTGCAAACGATTAATATTTACTATAAAAAAGTTAAAACTTTGTATAAAAGTATACATATATATAGGTGTAATAATAAATTTGAAATAGTTACTCCTATATTCGGTTTGATTCAGTTTTTTTTAATTAAAACCAAAACCAAACCAAATTTGATCGGTTTTTAAATTTCAAAACCAAAAACCAGACAAAAAAAAAGTATCGAATTTTTTTGGATGGTTTGGTTTGGTGAACACCCCTACCTGTCTCTATCGTAATCTTTATTTTTAAATTGAGTGAAAAGCTTCCACGATACTACTAAATTATAAGCTTTGGAAAAATGTCAAAAGTGTGCTGCAATCACAACC